AAAACAATGGTAGCCCTGTGAAGACCCAGAAAGCAGAAGGCACAAGAAGAAGTAAAAATTCAGTGAGATTTTAATCCCTTGATATCTAAGCAATCTCACGATATTGCAGGTGCATGACTCACTTGGAGAACACATTTTTGCTTCAAGTTGCCTCCCTCCAGGGAAATTGTGCTTTCTCAAGCTGGGTCTGACTGAACGTGCATGCAGTTCGTATGATGTGCACAGGCTTTTAGCTATAGCTCTTACCCACAGTATGTAGAGACACAAACACACTCATCCACACAGGATGCCTGGCAGGAAATCACTTGCCACATTTCTCAAAGCTATGTGATACAGTCTTTTAAATGCTGCCTGAAGGGCTCAGTCAGTGCTATTTCTTTCCTGCTAATCCCATGTAAGTGTTCTTTGTGCCTTGCTCAAAAACCCCTGTCATTTTTGGACCTTGCGCTCACCAGATTCTAGTGCAGTAGATGGTATGCCAATCAATAAAATGAGAAGTGGGTCTTACATAGCAGGGTTGTTATTAATGGCTTCACAGTCACATTTTCTCTTCCGCTAGGGCTGTTATGTCAACATACCAAGTATTTACACTAGAAATTTAACTCATATCAGAAAGCTCAACTCTTGACTTGTCCATGGAATTTAACATGGTTCACTGGAAGTTTTTACTGGATGCTTTTTTTCTGATCCTTCTTTATTACAAGCTTAAAAATACTCAGTGATTCAAGTATACATTGTCAATGTATATGAGATTGAATGCACTCAAATGCAAGTGGTGTTGAATCTACCATTGACTGTTATTTTGTGGAAAAAAACATTCTGACTTGATTTAAGGCTGTGAAATCATCTGAGTCAACTTTTTTTTTTTTCAAATGCTTTTTTGTTTTTTTAGTTTACATATTGTTGAGAAATAGGGTATTTGGTAATAGGCATTTGCCACAGTACAGAGGGAGGTGTACTAGCTTCCGTATCAGGAAAAAGTCATCATCATAGCTGTAAGTAGTAGCCTTATTGTACTTTTATACCAGTCTCCTGAGAGCTTATTAACCCACAAGTCTAAATTTTCACTGAAAGTGAAAGTGTTTTAAGGAAAACATGCAAGGTAAAAAGTTTTGGGGAAAAGACATTCAGAATGCTACATGTCCAACATTTATTGACTTTAACATACAAAGCACTGATGTTAAACCTGCATAGTATTGGTTCCAAAAATCAAGAAATTTCATAATTAATAAGCTCCTAACTTTCACAGAAGACAGTCTCTAGCAACTTGTTTGCCCCTCTAAATCATAAATCAGAAGACTTTGCAGATGTCCGTTATCCCCAAGATCATGTGAATTTCGAAGTAATGGGGGCAGGATTTCCTCTGAGACCCTCTACCCTTGCACTGCTGTCCTGTGCAGAGGGGCAGCTCTACTGAACGTAATCATGTTTATTTTTACAAATTGTACAGAAAATGACATCCTATTGATTTCAAAGGGGTGTTTATGGATTATACCCTTTTTAAAAGTGAAATGTAAAACTGCTGAGGAAATAAATTGGAGCTATAAAGAGCAGTCATAAGGAAAAACTATTTGTGAGATGCTTAAAATTAGTGGGATTACCTGCCCAAATTCTGGGCCTCCTGCAGGCCAGCAGAGAAATGGCACTATTTGAGTTTAAAGTGCGAGGATGGGACCTAGAGATTTATACATCCTGGACAGCTACTGTAAACATTCTTAAAAGGTGACTACATATGATCAACCCTAAGAAAATGAGTCTGCTTAAAGTAGTTGTCTAAATGTGGATTTACAGGCTTATTTTTAGGTGCTTGCATCTGAAATTGTAGTCAGAGGTGTGAAAGGGGATGCTCAGCTGCCCTTACATGGGGAACAGGGGGCTGGTGACGTGTGCAGCTGGCAGCCGCCCCTCACTGGCACCCTAGGATCAGGCATCTCCGATACACCAAGCGGGTTAATGTTTTAATCTATTCTTGACACATCCCCTGCCCGTTCGAGTCACAGGACCGTTCATCTCCCTCCCTTTCTGCTAATTGTTCCAGTTGTCAGTTAGCAATAACGGCTATTGGTGTTGTGCTGCTTGCTCAGCAGTGCAATTTCCTTTCAGCTCTCTTTTCGAGGAAGTGAAACCACTGTGATGTATTTTTGCATTCTGAGGTGCCAAAGCAAAATGAAGCACTGCAGACAGGAGAGAAAGGTAGCTGAGAAGAGCTGCTGTTATGGTGAGGGGGAAAAACCCATGTTCACTCCATGATAGCTTCTGACAGTGTTTCAAACTGCATGATAAAGTGTGCACTGGATTTAGCGAAATAAATTAGCTTTAGGCCAGACTTCACTTCGGGTGTTTTGCCTCACATTCTGCTGTCAGCATTAACAATTGCAATTCCATTTGATGAACAAGTAAGTAATCATTTTACTGTTTTTTTAAGGAAGTATGTGTGTTTGGTCTGAAGGAACTCTATAACCTTACTGCTTAAACTCAGTTTTATTTAAGTAATTGACTGTGAAATACATTTTAGATCTTTCTGCTGCTGGTAACGAGGAAAAATTCTGATTAATACAAACACTTTGCAAGTTCATTTTTGGATTGACTGAAATACTGAACTATGAAATTTACATATTTAGCAATTAAATTAGAACCTGTGTAATAACACAGGGAAAAATGAAGCTGGTGTATTGCAATACACTTCTGGTGTATTGTAGAATAGATAGAAATTGGGCCATGCTGGATAGTCCCAAAACTTGGACAGTTTTTAGAGGAATGCCATGAAGAGTTTAACACCTCTTGTAAGTGAGCAGTTCAGCAATGGTGATTACATGTCGAGCTCTACTTTGTCAAATGTTAGATTATGTAAGGATTTTTTTTTGTTGAAAATCTGTTAAATTTTTAGAAAACTGCCATGTTTTCAGTTTCTTGAAATTGATACTTTGAAGGTTGTTATGTGTAAATTGTTAGAACCGTAATAGAGTATTTGGGTGACGTGCTGGAGGCAGTTTGTATGGATTTCTGTTCAATTGCAGTGGAACACTGTGTGATGTAGTTAGCATTTTATAGGAATAACTACAGCATCCTAGGAAATAATATTTTAAAATAGATATATTTTGTATTGTGAGAGTTTTTCTCTGCAAATTTATGCAAGATACTTTGAAACAGCAATTGCTATTAATATGAACATCTGTATGTCTTTGTGGAATGTCAGAACACATCATGGGCAATTAGTAAATTGTAAGGCTTCAAGAAAAAAGAGTTATGAAAGAAGAATTGATATGCCTGTTTTGGAGGAAAAAAAGTTATCATTCATCTGTAGATCTTTGTAAAGCATTGGCTGTTGAGCTAGTATTTGACGATATTTTGAAATTAGTTTTACTTGAGTAGTAACACTTGCAGTTTTATATTTAAAAACATAAAAAGTTAATACAATATTTTAAGTTCAGATTGACTGCTTAGTATCTTTAATGTCTTCCTGTATCTTTGTGGTTGAGAAATATGTCTGTCTTGTGATCTTGAGTGCTTTGCTCGAGATAGTTAACAATGGATTCTTTGGTTTTTGAGTGTCCTCATGTAGTAAAGATTTAAAAAAATGCACTCAAACACTTCATGCTTCAAAACAGAATACAGGTATGCACTGAAAGTCTTAAGAAACAAACCTGCTTGAAAGTTTCCGAGGTGACAAAAAAAGAGCTTGTTACAAAGTTTCTCAAAGGTACTGTTAAAGGAAAAATACAGATTTGTGTCTCACATGTCCTGAATGTCAAGTTCCTTCTGTTTGCTGCAACCCCAGAGGCACCCTGCACCTGAACACACCCAGCTGCCCAAATACAAACCGTTAATAGGAAACCTTTTCCAAATTCAGAGGCTTACTGTTTGGCACCTGCAAAGTTTATGTTTTCATTATAATGAGGAAACAAAAAAAAAAGTTTCCAGGCCCTGTCTTTGCAAAGCAAACCGTCCATATGTGAAGTAAATGTAAACAGATGAAACTTTCCTTTAGTCTGTCTGTGACTCCAGAAAAGCTGTA